TCCCGCGGCCTCGCTCTGCCGCCGCGGCGGCTGGGACGCGGGAGAAGCGCTCCCATTACAGCGGCCTCCGGCGGTGCCCGCTCACCTACGCCCCTTCTCCGCCCGCCGGGGTTACACTCCGTCACGCACGTCTTTCACGCCGTGCGTCCCCGATTCGCTACCGTGGTCCTGCTTTTAGTGCTTCCGACTTTGACCTCGTGTGGCTTTGGGAGCCACGAACCCACCACCTTCGCAGCCGTAGCTCCGTCTCCGTCGTCCCTTATTCTTCCGCGCGTTTGCCTGTTACCAACCAGCCCCCTTTTGTTTTGGCTTTAAAAGTCCTGTTAACGTTTCTTGTAAGTCTGGTCTGATTGGGACGAACGACTTGAGCTTTTGCTTTTCTGGAAAATTCTTAAAATGACAGCTTTGCCAGATCGCGTATTCTTGGTTGGAAGTTTTTTCTTTGCACACTTAGAGTGTGTTTTGCGACTCTCTTCCGGCCCTTAGAGCATCTGCTGGAAAATCGGACCATCTTGTGGGGCGTCCGTTGTGCATAACTGGTGGTTTTTCTCCTGGTGCCCTTAAGATTCTCTCCTTTATTTAATGCTTCATGTTTTAATTGGGATGTGTCTTGGCGTGGATCTCTGTGGTTTCCTTTTATTTGGAACTTTGTGTGCGTCTGGACCCGGATGTCTTTGTCCTTCCCCAGGTTAGGAAACTTTTCAGCCACGATTTCTTCAGATTTTTTGCTCCTTTCTTTCTTTCTTTTGGGGCTCCTGTAACGTGAACATACTGCTTTGCTTGACCTTGCCCCGTAAGTCCCTTAAGCTGTCTTCACTTTTATTCAATCTTTTATCCTTTTGCTTCTGTGACTGGGCGAGTTCTGCTCATCTTTTCTTCTGTGGAAACCAGCTGGCTGTGGGGCCCCTCTGGTGCTTTTCCGACCAGCTGCTGTGTGCTTCAGCAATGTGGCTTCCCCGTGGGACTTTGTTTTCTTTCTCCGTCGAAGTTCCCACTGTGTTCCTCCATTCCTCTACCAAGTTCAGGGAGCATCTTTTTGACCGTTATTTTTAACTCTTTATCAGGTAAATTATTTCCGTTTCATTAAGAACTTTTTCTGAGGTTTTTGTGGTTTACTTTGGACTGTGTTCCTATTTCTTCATTACCTGTTAGCTCACACAGATGAAGCAGGTGTCTCTCATTCTTGAATGGGTGGCTTCGGTAGCAGATGAACCTTACCACTCAGTCCTACCCTAGCTCGTCTTTCAGAACTTTGCGATCATGAAGTGTCCTTTTATTTCTCATGGCTCCCAGGAGCCGAGGCTGCGCCAAGCCCTGCCCGTGGGAGGACAGTCCCAGAACCGAGGCTCAGGCTGATTGTAAGCCTCGTGCTCAGGCAGCAGCACTGGAAGCAGGCCAGACATACGGGGACTGACGCACACGTCCTGCTGGCCGCCAGCCAGCCGAGCTGGAGGCGTCCGCTGCGCAGCGCTTTAAAAAATGCAGCGGCCAGGCAAGTGTTCACGCTCCTTTCCATGAGACGCCAGTGACCTGGAGGGAGGCAGGCGGAGCGTGAAGGTGCCGGAGCCCGAGGGAATGGGCTTCTTTCACGGAAGGACGAGGTGTGTTTCAGTCTGCTGTGTGTCCAGTGCCCTGGGGAGGCATTTGGCCTGGAACTGCCTTCCCAGGCGTTACAGTCCGTGGGACCCAGGAATGCAGACCGCGGCCACCAGAGCCAGGCCAGCAAAGGGGGACACGGGCTCTTGTCCTGGAGATACTGAGGGGCTGCAGTGAGGCAGAGGGCGAGACCATCTCCACCCCAGAGAGGACCCATCAGGCCCCCCGATGTGTGTGGAAGTCCATGCCTGCCATTCGGGCCGACTCTGGAGGATTGGCAGGTGAGCCTCTGACATAAAGTCTGGGCATCTGTCACCCGGCTGCCTCCGTGCTTGTCCCTGGGCCAGCCACACTGAGTAAGTGAACCCCTTAAAGGTGTCTGGGGGTGTGGTGGGCCTGAGCCCTGCTGGTTTTCAAGGCCAGAGGGCCTCTGGGCTCAGCTCCCCGGGCTGGTGTGCAGGGTGGGGCACCTGATGTGTGGTTCGGGGAGCGGGTTGCGAGTTCTCTTGTGACGGGGCTCACTGTGCTGGGTGGGGACGGGAGGCACCGCGGGCTCGGGTCTCAGCCTCTCCCACCTGGTGCCCCGCGGCTCGTCTCTGCTCCACATGGAGTTGGTCACCTAGTTGTGGGGTTTTCCAGAGGAAGTTGTTCCATGGTCCGTGCGGGTTTGGTGTGCGCGGGAGGAGGTGACGGGCTCTGCTGGGTGGCCGCGTGCAGCCGGAACTTCTGCCTGTTGCCCGCTCGGTTACTGGCTTGTGGTAACCTCTGTGCTTTCACTGTCCACCCCGGTCAAGTTCAGGTCTCCTGCAAACGCGCAGCTCGGGGCTGCTTTCTTACCGTCTCACGATCTGCATCTTGTCAGCGGCCCGTCCGTGCGTTTCCCGTGCGGTCGGCGCGCTGCCCGGGCTGGGCCTTGAACGGGAGCAGAGCTTCACGAGGCTGAGGGAGCACCACGGGCCCAGGAAGGAGCAGGAGCGAAGCACAGAGATGGGGGCCCGCGAGGGGAAGGCGCAGAGGGTCCTGCGGGGAGCCGGGACCTGCCCTCTGGTCGCTGGACGGGTCCAGCGAGTCCCACTGGCCGGTGAAAATGCAACAGGAGTTCGTGCCGTTGGTCACCTGCTACATCTGTTGCAAAGCAAAGCAAGATACAATAATTTGGGGGGGGAGTGCGTAGGGGGCTCAGTCAGGTTAAGCTTCTGACTCTTGATTTCAGCTCAGGTCAAGATCTCAGCTACACACGGAGCAGGACGTCTGCGTGGGATTCTCTCCCCCCTTCCCCCTCTGCCCCTCCCCCCATGTTGGTGTCTCTCTCTCTCTCAACAGTATGCATTAATTTTTATTAAATAACACAACGAAGAGGTCCAGAAAATGGAAAACAGACATTTGATGAGAAGGGAGATGAAAGTGGAACAACGCAAGTGCGCCGTGCACACAGCCTGGACCGCGCGCTCCTAGCATCGTCTGTGCGTGTGCGGGCCGGGGGGGCCGAGAGTGCGTTCTGTGCCACACACGGTGAGAAGCGCCAGGATGAGAGGCTCGGCCGGTTTTGAGCAGCAGGAGACGGAAGTGACCGTTCTTGCCGATGCTCTTGTGACTGTGATCCGTGCCCTTTTTGTCATTAGCGGGGGCGACGGACTACCTGGGGGAGAGTGTATGCAAACAGAGCAGCACGGGCACGGCCTCGTGCAAGAGCAGGGACGCGGGGCTCCGAGCCCCGCTCAGCTGTATCCCACGCGGCACTGGGACAAACAGACCATCCCGGGTACCCGAGACCTTATTTAAACACCTTAGTTATGTTTCTGTGTTAATGGATACAGCTGGTCTCCCTTTTGGAATTTTAATTTTGGACGTAGGAATTGAGCAGCCTCAGACACGGTGCAGCGCTGCTCGCACCCACGCCTTGCTCTGTGCCTGCTGACGCTCCCCGCACCTGCCTCCCCACCTGCAGTGCGCGGGGCCTCCCAGGAGGGACGGGCGGGCACTCGTACCCCAGCGAGCGCGTCGCTTTCGTGGGCCTGAGCGCTGACCTCGGCGGGAGCTTCCCGATCGGTTCACGCGTCCATACGTCATGACGCGGTTTAGTACACAACTTACCTGCCTGTTTTCTCAATGTGTGGGAAGGTGAGCTTGTTTCTCTAATGCACTTGGGTAAACCTACCGCAGCTCCTGCTTCTACCCCCGTGCCTCTGTCCGGTATCTCTGAAGAACGTCTCCCTGCAGAGAGCGGGGACCCGTGTGTGCGTGCGTGTGTGTGCGCGTGTGCGTGTACACACGCGCGTGCGCTGCATCCAAAAGCAGCCCGTGTTGTTTCACCGTGCAGAGATCGTTCTGAAGATGCCGTGTCCACACCACACGGCTTCCGTGTTCTGTCCCACCGCAGCGGCACACGCGTGTGAAAGCGGGGAGGGTGCCGACGTGAAGCGCAGTCTCTCTAGAGCGCACATTCAGAGGCGTTCAGGTTCCGTCATTTGTGTCCTGTCCGTGCAGTGACTACGGTACAGAAGCTTTCTTTTAGCCTTTGTAAAAAACTAGATGATACTCTGTGGGTGGCACCACACAGTAGGGACCCAAAGCTAAGAAAACGTACTAGAAATCTGAAAAGTAAACGCTGAGACAAATAAGCAGCCCACACAGCCCACGTCCAGGGCCGGAGGTGCCCGTGGCTGCGACGCGGAGGCCGTGACGCTCCGGGGAAGGTTCCGTGCGGAATGAGCTGGCCTTCGGGCACGGCCTCGCTCCGACGTGTACACAGGGCCAGGAGGAGGCGTTTCCAAATGGGAAACGAGGAGTTTTCTTAGGTATTCCGGGGAGTAGTGCAGGCACCTTTTCATGAAAACCCGCACGTCAGGTGTGAGCACAGGCACTGGTTCGGGCGTTTGGAGTTGTGAAGCTTCCAGAGGCTGAGGGAGAAGATTTCCAAGCAGCCGCACTGGCCACCAGCAGGTGACGTCCCGGCGCACGGCAGGAAGTAGCCCTGACCTTCCCCGCCACAGCCCCTGCAGGGGCTTGATGCGCAGCTCGCACTCGCTCGCCCGAAGCGCCAGGGAAGGAGGTGGTGCAGAATCCGCGCCATGAACACCCGTCCGTCCGTCCGTCCGCTTGCCTGCTACTTGCGGCAGGACAGCGGGAAGAGGTTGACAGATGGTTACGACATGGTCCTTAGCCTGCAGGAACGCAGTCCTCTGTATTATCTCCTGTCTCCGAGCTCCCGGCTTCGTGGCAGCGCAGGCTGGGACCCCGCGGGGTCGCTTCCCGCCTGCGACACTGGGCCGTTGGCACCTGTTGGCTTCGGGGAGGCAGAGGCGGGGGGTCTCGGCGTCTCCGTGCGGCGGGGCTCTCCACGACGTGGGTCCCGATTCCCTGAGCCTCTGCGCCACAGCTAACATCTCACCATCGTCTTGCAGAAAATGTCACCACTGTGACCTCCAACCACACGAGCCAGCCCACCAGCACCACGAGACCATCGACGACGCCACGGTCTTCAGTCGCCAAGACAGAGGCAGTCACGGCCGTGACCTCCCCAGCAACAGCTCGAATCACACCCGTGGACTCCAGCAACAGGACTCTCAGCGGCTCGGTCTCCCAGAACACAACCCAGACGGTGCCGGCCTCAGTGACCACCCCAGCCCACAACAGTCCGGTCACGTCCGTTTCCTCCGTGACGCGTACGTATCAAAGCTGCCCCCAGCCCCCGTGTCTGCTGAGCGTGGCGGTCCCGTGCCGCGTTCCTGTCATCCGTGCTTCTGCGAAGAGCAAGTGCGGACAGGGCTGTCCTGTTGCACACGGCGGCGGCTTCAGTCCTGCTGGGCCCATCCCCATGGACGATGAGTTTCCGACTTCACCAGGCCGCATGACGACGGTGGGGGGCACATCGCAGCAGGGAACGGCCATGTGATTTGAAAACGTGTCCTACCTGGCCGTCCGGGTCCCTCGATACAGAGCAGAGGCAGGTAGCGGCGGCGCCAGGCTCTACGGCCCCGCCAGTGCCCGTGCTTCCAGCTCAGCTCCGCCGTCAGGCCCTCCAGGTCATCCCGGGGCAGCCGGCACTGTTCATGCTTTGCGTTTGTCTCAAAGACGCCTGGGAAACCATGAATTCAGAACCTAAACCTTGACCTTCACGGACGCAGAGTGCGGCCGTACCGAGAGCTCGCGACCGCATTTACCAGCACACGCCTTGGGCTTTCTGGCCTCCACTCCGCAGCGTTCTTGCTAGTCTGTGTTCTCAAGTCAGCTGCTCCGTCTCAGGGCCTGTGATGTGCTAAAGCCAGAATAGTTAAGTCCCCAGTTTATGCGGGAGAAGTTCTAGTCAGAGCCACGGAGACTGGATCCAGCCGCGGGATCACCGCTGTGGAGCCCATGGTTCAGGCAGACTCTTACAGGCACCAATAAGGAACCCAGTTCCCCACCTGGGACTGCCTCGGGGGCTGTGGTGGAAGGTCGGGGTCCAGGAGCACAAAAACCCTCAGATGCAGGGACGGGCAGGGGCCAGGAGAGATGCTGCATCGGCTGGAGGCACCCGGAGCCCAGCGGCACCCAATGCAAAGCAGGCTTTCGGCTTTTCTTAGAAGTTCACGGTGGCAGCTCAACAATGTTGTTTAGAGGCTACTAACGCCCGTCTTTTGTTTTCTTCTAGTCACACCAACTGTGAATTCCCCCGGAAACCCAGGATCAAAGTTCGACACTGGCAGCTTCCTGGGCGGTATCGTGTTGACACTGGGAGTCCTGTCGCTTCTCTATGTCGGATGCAGGACGTACTATTCGAGACGAGGCATTCGCTACAGAACCATGTGAGTCTTGGCCACAATGTGTTTCTCTGTTTCCTTAAATACCACGGCCAAATGCCAGAGCAGGGCCCCGGGGCTAGCAATCACATTCCAAGTAATCCTGGGCCCGGAGGTCGTTGGCGACGTGCAGGTACAAACGGACACCCGTGCCCACGCCGGGGAAGAGGTGGTCACGCCCCTCGGGCCCGGAGGCGTCGGACTGGCTGTGCTGAGCACGTCTGCCCGTCCGCGGCACGGAGGCGCGGCCCTGCTAGAAACAGGGTTTCAAAGAAACCCTGTCCTTCTCTCTGGTAACTCGGTATAGTGAGTGAGCAGATGTCACCTGACGCAAGGCCCCCTCGGGGGACGGCGCGTGCCCCTTCCATAGGCCTGGAGCTGTGAGGGGGGGGTCACCTCCTCGCTACTCTAGTTCTCAGAAGTCCTTTCTGGGCTGATTCTTACTGGGGTGCAGGAACGGATTGTTAGCACAGACCCCCGAGGACACACAGGCGTCCTGCACGGTCGCTGCACGTCTGCTGGGTGTGGAGCTGACGGGACGGAGAGAGACCATGGTCACCTAATGCCAGGTGCCCTGAGGCCTGGAGACGCGGGTGCGCGTCTTAAGTTCCCAGGACCGAGGAGAGCAAGGAAGGGCCTCCCGGGTTGACCACTGAACCGAGAGACACGAGGCTTTGGCAAACTCGGCGTGTTTTACTGCACATCTGGAACCCTAGATCACCCCGGGGAGGAAACAGACTGGACTGAGCGTGTTGGGTACCTCTGTGTTTCTAGAGGAATTTATCGCATGCTCTTGGTGACTTTCCCCAGTTAGAACAAGGCACGTTCTGAGTAAATCCAGGGCCACTCGTGTTTTCCAGCACTGCTGTTTATTGATGGAGGGGGGGGCCACAGAGCGCTGAAGCAGCGGAGCCAGGTCCCTTCAGCTGCTCTGAGCTCCAGCCTTGCCCGGGGTGGCCCCTGCAGCACGGGGCAGACACGCTGCTCTGAAGTTCGGGTGCGCGCGAGTCTGCGGGGTGCAACGGCAGGAGCGGCTCCGAAGCTGGGAGGTCCTCCGCACTGTGATGTGGTCTGTCCGGGGCAGAAGCGGCGAAGCCGGTGGTGCCGGGGCCGCGGAGAGCGGCGCTCACCTGTGCGCAGCCGGGCCGTCCTGCGCTCCGGCGGGTCCTCGCCAGCTGCCTGCATGAGATACGGGGGTCGCTCGCACCGCACCTCCACGGAGCAAATGTTCAAGGGCTCGCGGGTGCTCGGCTGGGGAGGGCAGAGCAGAGGCCGAGGGGAAGTGTGCCCGGATCCTCCGGCATGTGGTGGGCGCGAGGCGTCAGCAAGGTTTCTGTAAAGGCCAGTGTTGATCCGAAAATAAAAAACAGTTTCAACTTCTCATGTCTTACAGTGACGAACACGACGCCATCATTTAAGGAAATGCAAGGAGCCACGGAAAGAATATTGGGAACAGCCCTCCCACTTGTGAGGACGGCCATGCACCTGCTGTACAACCTATCGCGAAAAGGGTTTGGGTTTCTACATGTGTGTCTGGAACGGGCAGTTAATGTTGACAAATAGAGACAAGTCCTCCCCTGCAGCGTAGCCCTGGTCACCCTGGGCGTGACTGACGATCTCCTCCCCAAAGGGCAGCCCCCCATTCGGACCTTGGGATTTTCACACCGACGCCACGGAGCAGAAAGCAGAGGAAGCCGCAGCTTTTCCAGCTCAGTACTCAGGTTTAGAAACCAACGGCACTGCCCCAGCCCCCACTCAAAACTAGACCCATCGACAGGCCGCGGCCCCGCCAGGGAGCCTGTTCCTCCTGCGGCCTCCTCTGCGCTCCCGGTGGCTGGTGTAGGTCAGGGGAACTGCAGTGTTGAACAAGGGTTTAAAGCCGCTGTGAGAACAGCGTCCCTGCTGGAAACTGCAGGGCCGCTTCCTGTAGCTGGACCCCGTAACGCGGTGGGACCCCCCCCCCCCCCGGCGCACGACACCCCTTCTGCCAGGGCTCACGGCTGCGTTCCCACCCCTGGGAGGGCGCCCCTCCCCTACAGCAGGACGATGCTGCATTCCTGTGCACTGCTGATTTACTCCGATTTGGGGAAATTAGTATACTAAAAAAACCTTTGTACTGGGATTAGAGCCTTCAGTTTTTAAAAACAGAAACTTACGAGTCTTGAGGCCCCTCATCTCCCATGGAGGGCACCCGGCTGGGTCATGCTGACAGCAGTGTCCGTCCATGGAAGTCCAAGGGTTCGGCTTTATGGTTTAGATTACAGCAGCCAAAACTCGGTCAAGTTTGGCAAAAGAAAAAGTATCCAGTCCTACTAAACGACCACCAGGCTACGCTGGACTTCACTAAAATGGCATTTCTGTGTCTGTTAATTCAGAAATAGCTCAGATGACCCTGCGTCTACACCGAACGGGGTTTAAATGTAACTTGTGACCAGCTTTTGGCTTTCAGAGAATGCCATGAATTTCATATAAAAGCGCCATTTCTACTCTGCATCATGGCCCACAGACGGGAGGGCCAGGGGGCGGCCCCGGCTACAGGAAGGGGACTGCGTTCGTGACCCGACGGCGCCGCCGGCTCTCGCTGTGAAATCCGCTCACGCCCCGAGTATACGCTTCCGTCTGGAGTCCCTCGAGGACCTTTCCAGTCGTCCTTCTGTTTCCTGCGTGCTTCCCGCTTCAGGGGCTGGGGTCCGTCAGAACCTGGAAGCCGGGCCTGACTCTGCCTGTTAGGAGAAAATGCCATTAAATGCCTTTCCAGCTGCCTTTGGGTCTAAAAACTGCCTTCCCTGTCGGGAAGCTGGAGCACGGCTCCCACGTGGCCCCCACACCCTAAGCCGCAATTCCTGTCCTCGGTGTGTTTGCTTCAGCAGGTGCGCACTTCTGTTTGCTTCCTTGAGAATGTATCCACTTGAAGAGCTGGTAGAATCCTATCTAGGACTTTAGGTAATTCAAAGAATGAGCATTTCCCCCACAGATAAGAGTTGGCAATATATTAGTAAGAATTTTGTATTTTTCAGGAGACTTAAAGCAGATTCCTTTTCTCTTATTATAATAACCAACTTTTGGTATTTCACTGTTACTGAGATCTATTTTTAGAATAAAATTTTTTCATTTAAGAGTTTTTGTGTGGTTTTACTTCATTTCCTCAAACTCCAGAGAAATGAAAAGCCCCAAGTAAAGAGGCATATACTGTAGGGGTCCAGCGACACAGAAGTGTCAACAGGCTCACCTGGAACCCTGGGAGCAGCAGAAATTGTGTCAGGGCCACCCCAGACTTCCAGAACAGCAACGTTTGACAAGCCGCGCTCAGGACGCTCTGTTCACGCCACTTCCCACTTCTGCTGGGAAGAATGAGAAAAACAGGTACGTTCATGTGAGAAACCTCCATCAGCGACACGTCCCTCAATGTACAGACCCGCACACAGGACGGAGGGTGGCCTTGACCGCTAGGGACCGGAGACCAAAGTGGGGGGCTTGCAACAAGCAGCACTTGGTCTGGAGAGAGCAGAGGAAGTCCCACCTGCAGAAGCAGGGCGGCGGAGGGGGGCTGACTCCACCAGGACCCACCGCAGCTCCGCCTCATTCCCAGCCTCGGGAGAACCTGACCTGCGCCGGAGCCTGGTCCGTCCCTGCCCAGACAAGGGGGCTGAGCCGGTCTGGCGGCTATAGCCCAGCCACAGCCGAGACGAGCTCTGCCGAGACCGAGTCCACGAGAAACGGATTCAACAGACCAGTGAGGAGTAAAAGTACTTTTTGAAAAAGTACTCTCTAGGCCCGGCATGGGGCTTGAACTCATGACGTCCTGAGATCAGGAGTCAAAGGCTCTACTGACACAGGTAGCGGGGACCTCACCCACCCGAAACTCATTTTAAAAAGCCAGCATCAGGGGCCACCTGCATGGCTCAGTGGGTTAAGCCTCTGCCCTTGGCTCAGGTCATGATCTCAGGGTCCTGGGATCGAGCCCCACATCGGGCTCTCTGCTCTGCGGGGAACCTGCTCCCCCCCCCCCCCCCCCCCCCCCCCCCCCCCCCCTTGTGATCTCTGTCAAAAAAAAAAAATCTTAAAAAAAAAAAAAAAAAAAGCCAGCATTACCATAATACCGAAGCCAGAAAAG